AAATTTACAACGTCATTTTTTTAATGATAACAACAACGACGATTACACCTCAATAAATGTAAGGGCAAAGTCACATACATGGACATAAACTAAATTTTAGTACACGTACTGTGCATCCTTTGATGCAACATTCAATTTTGTGTAAATCATACCGCTGTTCTTTTTAGGGGTAGGTCGGGACCTACTGTTATTATGCATTTAAGCTTTTCAATACTAAACTGATTTTTTGCTGATATAGATTTGTTCAAATGAAGAGCCACACCCTCCTCCAAGGGAAGATAATTATGAAAATGTAAAATTATTGGCATGATTGAAAAATCGTCTTTTCAAGAAACAATGGGACAGGAAAGATAAAACTCAAAAGGAATCATTGTCAGGTAGTATAGATTCAAGTTTACCGTTTTCAAATCATGACCCTCGTGGGTAGGATAGGGCCACAATGAACAATATAAGTTTTACATATAAGAATATGTAGAAAAATTCTTTAAAAATAATTTTCTTAAGAACAGCAAAGGTATGATTGGTTATATTTATATGGAAGCATCAGTTGGTGTAGATTCAAGTTTGTTCAAACCATGACCCTCGGGGCGAGGGTGGGGCCACAGTGGTCGATCAAAGTTTAATATAGGAGTAACATAGCAACAATCTTCAAAAATATTCTTCTCAAGAACAGCAAAACTATGATTTCAAATATTTATGAGAAAGCATCCTCAGTTAGTGTACATTCACTTTTTTCCAAATCATGATCCCCAGGGATAGGGTGGGGCCACAATGAAAGTTCAAATTTGTAGGCAAAAACTCACAATAATGTTAGTCAAAAATTATAAATTATTTAAGCATCCTTAGTTAGTGTAGATTCAGTTTTTTTCAAATCATTGCCCTTCTCCCAATTGGGGGTAGGTCGATCAGAAACACTTTTGCATTTACGTTTTTCAATACTAAACTGAATTTGGTTTTTTCCTTGCCACAGTGCTCAGTTGGTACACTAAGCCTTTTGTAATGATGTTTGTACCATGCTGCTTTTACTAATGTAACACGTGATTTACAGGCTTTCAGTGATGTAACTTCCCATTATCCTAGAGGAATGATGGACATGTTACGAGAATTGGAGCTTCCACATAGAGGTCGCCACCACAGCGGGATAGGTAGGATACGTCAACATCACACTTAAAGAATGAACTAGAATAATTCTCATATCTGTTTATTTTAACACTTTATAGATCAGTTAGATGTGTAACCCTGTGTTTAACAGAGCATGTAAATAGATGTTATTAAATGCTTTAAGGAAAATGAGAAGTTTGATTGTAAATAAACTGTATGCTGAAAAAGAGATTGATTATCAGAGACAATAAATCGTTTCCCAGGACAATAATATCTGTAGGTGATAGCAGAAAATGAATAATTTGAAACATATTTTATTTCATTTGTTTTTACAGATGATTGTAGAAACATAACAGCCATTGCTGAGGAACTGATCAAAAGAGGTCATGTGTTTAAGCAGACATCTTATCCTTGACCTCAGATAGAGCGCCATCTGCTGGATCAGAAATCAAAGTCTGAAGAAATGACTGCACATGCTCAGGATTAAGACTGTCTAGATAAAATCAGTGGTGGGGGATTTGAAATTCTTACTCTGTGATAAACTATAGCTGGGATCATAATGCTCTGTCAGGAGAGCTTCCACAAACTGAGTCCACTGGCCGCTCTCTCCAAGTGAAAACCATTCACTAAGTTTAGAATTACTGTGATAACTTTTAAGTTTTATAAAATTTGTTTTGTAAACTGAAAATTTTCAATATAGTCTGAATAATTTTTCAAAATGTATTGTACTTTCTTTTTTCCATTGGGAGGTTTATACAATAATACTGTGTTTTTTCCATCTCTGAGTGTAAAGTTTGCGGTACATGTAGATAGCCTATCCGAACACTGTCTGACTATACCCACACCACCTTCTCCGGACTAAAGTTTCTAACATCTGGGATTCAAATAATTTCTGCGAGAAATGGGTTTCATTAATTTCCGCCCCCAGTAATGATCCTCTGTGTAAAGCAATGCACTCTAGATCCAATATCTATTCACCAAGAACAGGCAACTTAAATGAGATAAATATGCTAAAATACTTGTCATTGATTGAGATTGATTTATAATGAGTTGTTTAACGCCCATCTCCAGAATTTTTCACTACAAGCCGGTGGAGAGCTGCACCCGGCACTTACGGCCATTGAGCAGGAGGGGGATCTTTTTCATGCCATCACCTACTGCGACACGGGACCTCAGTTTATACCATCGCATTCGAAGTTGAAAATTTAAAGAAAAACTAATAAAAAATAAAGAAGTTGTAATAATTGTTGATGATTTTCAAACAATTAATGCAGAATTCAGTTAAGTGTATAAGAAAATCTCTACATAAATGTGAAATACATGTATTTTTTGCTCACCTCAACGAACTTCAACGAAGTTGATGGAGAACTTACGTAATACCTTTGGTGTCAATGTTGGCATCACAGGTTAAGGTTTTTATTGCAGTTTTCTGTTTAAGTGTTTCTGAACACGTGATTTACAGGCTTTCAAGCGAGATGACACTTTCCATTATCCTAGAGGAATGATGGACATGTTACGAGAATTGGAGCTTCCACATAGAGGTCGCCACCACAGCGGGATAGGTAGGAGACATGCTTATAACATCCGACCAAGAATGAACTAGAAGATCTTGCATATCTGTTTATTTTAGAATTCTCAATAGAAATCAGGGGGTCATTATTTTATATGTTAGTCCTATAAAATAATGACCCCCATGTGTTTAAAGTGATATACACTTTTTGAGCATGTAAATACAGATGTTATTAAGAGATTCACGCTTTAAGGAAAATTGTGTTTGAGAAGTTTGATAAATTTTCTTTTTAATATTCCTCTTTATAATGTTTGCTTAAATATATTCCACTTGTTTTTAGAAATCAAACCCTGCAAAAATCAGGTTTGAATACTCTTTAATAGGAAAAATTAAATTTCCCGTCATTTCAACTTTTAGTTTGTTTAAGTTAAATCAGACAATGACAAGGATTTTTATCCCCCCCCCCAAAAAAAAAAGAACATTACGTTAAATCAAAACAAAAAATAATAATAATTAATGAAAAGCAAAAATATAAATAAAACTCTATACCTTTCAATAATTCTGTAGATAAAGTGATAAGTTAAGCACACAAGAAAATGATGATTAAAGCATACTTTAAATGTTGGTGGAGGTATACTTGAAAGTATTGTGGGCAAGTAAAAGTTAAAAATTATTTAGATAATTTTTAGCTTATTTTTATCTTCTTCTTACAGAAAAATAAAGGTATGGTGGTTTTTTTTTGCTTTTGTTCAATATCGACTTCCTCCTAAATAAAGTAAAGGGGGTGGGGTAAGTATAAGACCTAAAAATATACAAAGCCATGTAAAATACACAGTCATTCTAATGCTAAAACTATACATGTAGATAAAAAATTTTGATTTAGCACAAATTCATTACATTTCTTTTAACGTAGAGCCTATTTCGTATGTAAATGTGTTAAACTGTGCTATTAAGACGTCATATTAATTAATTCAATGCCACTTTTTCCTTGACAGCTCAGATAGAGCGCCATCTGCTGGATCAAAATCAAGTCTGAAGAAATGACTGCACATGCTCAGGATTAAGGTATATAACCATTTTGAAGAAATGCATAAATCGTAAGAAATCTTTAGTTGCCAGCTATATAGTTTAATATCTTGTCTAAGTCTAAGTCAAAGATGTACGTGTTGTAGATCGTTTGATCGTATGTACATTTTTGTGACATCTATAATGAAATGATATGCATTCCTTTTAACAATTATTTGTTACCTATTCATATTCTTGGTGTTTGATTACAATTTTTCTATTAAATATGATCTTTTCAAAGTAAAAGTACAATTTCTGATAAATATTTAATCTGAAAGTAACCCCAAACAGTCATTTAATTATTAAATCCCGTGTAAGTGCAAAAAGGTCAAGAAAATGAGTATCGGTAAATAGCCTATCTTTCATTAGTTAGAGGGGAAAGGTATATATTTTAATAATTTTTTGTAATTATTTGGCTATGTTCTTTATCATATTGAAGATTGAGAACATTGTGACAAAGACGTCTAAAAATATTTACAAATATAGGGTGCATAATTGACTAAAAATAATAGAGTTCATTTGACTATGTTTTTTAATGGTGGACTTATCTTTTATGTTAAATGAATAAAAAAGAAATTATTCTTGATAAAATATTGTTTAAAATTATTCAATTAAAAAAGTTTATAAACGACGATGTTCGAAGAAGTATTTTTGTGATTTTTCATATTCCCTTTATGACAAGTACCCCTAAAAATATTTGAAAATGTGAAGTCGCAGTATGTAAATATTATACCAAGTTTCACAGCCTGTTCTAGATTAAAAAACAAGGAAACATATCATGATATCTTAACTGATTGATAAGCAAGTACTAATTTATCATTTTGAAAAATTTGAAATCTTGTGATAAAGACTTTTCCGACATAGGTTCTACCTTAATTCTTGTTTTACTCCACCCTTTTATATTTTTCAGAGAATTTAATATGAAAATCAGAACAAACATTCTCATTGTTGTAACGTCTTCTTTATAATGTATATTAATATGAAAAGTTAATTGAAGACCATTTCTTTTTATGTCCCCGTAATCGAAGATTCTGGGGTATATAGTTTTATCGTGTTCGTCTGTATGTCCGTCTGTCTATCTGGCGGTTTGTTTGTCCGCAAAAACCTTAACCTTTACCATGACTTTTCATATATTGGAGCTATGACTTTCATATTTAATATGTATATTCCTTGTGACAAGACCTAACTTTGGGTACCACCAAATTTGACCTTTTTACCTTTACTTTTGAGTTTATCCCATTTTACACAAAAATGCCAAATTTTTACTTTGGGCATAACTTTTAAACGGTGGATACTAGTACTCTCATACTTCAAATATGTAGTTTTTTGGCATTACCTTTCATTGAATACTTAAAACCTTGACCTTTTGACCTTGACCTTCGAGTTTTCCGTACTAATGATTTTTTTTACCTTGGCCATAACTTTTGAAAGGTAAGGGCTAGGGTATTCATACTTCACATATGTTATCCTTGTTACATTAAACATTTTCCTAAGAAATCATCAACTTTGACCTTTGAGTTTGACCTACCTGTCAAAAACTTATCCTTAGCCATTACTTTTGAACAAGTGGTGCTAGGGCTTTCCTATTTTGCAGTTGTATTTCTTGTGAGAAGACCCTACTTTGGGTAACAATATATTTAAATTGCATTTAAGAAAAGTTTAATCTTCGCTATGTTGCCATACAGGGGCATAGCTGTTTCACAAACACATTTTTTATATATGAGGATTTGCGGATAAGAGATGGATACCTCAAAGCGTAACAGACGGACGGACGGACATCCCAATCACTTTATACCCTCCCGCTTTTCAAGCGAAGGATATAATAATATATAATACTGCTGATTTTTTTTGTCGAGTTCGATGATTCCCACCATCAAAAAACAATGTTTACCTAACCCTAAAGGCTTGATAAATCTTTTACTCCTTTGATTCTGAATCATTGCATGTACCTTAAAATACAGCTATAATTGTATAATGTTATGAGATCAACATATCATCAGTTTATTCCCAATAAGCTCAGGTGAGCATTTTGGCCAATATGCTTCTTTATCTAATTTTTTTTTGACCCCTAAAAATTTTAGCTTTAATCTACAGGGGGTCATTTTTCTACGGGGGTCATATTTCTTCACGTTGGTTCTGCAAATTTTTAGGGAAGTGACACTTTTTCTACGGGCAAAAGGGTCATTTTTCTACGTCGAATATTGACCGGGGGTCATTTTTCGCTGTTGAAAAATGACCCCCGGTCATATTCGAATGGGGATCATTATTCGTCTTTACACCGGAAAAGATGAAACTCATTTGGAATCATCCTCAGGTAGTGTAGATTCAAGTTTGTTCAAATCATGACCTCTGGGGGTAGGGTGGGGCAAATTTGGGCCAGGAAAGATGAAACTCATTTGAAATCATCTTCAGGTAATGTAGATTCGTTTCTTCAAATCATGACTCCTGGGGGAAGGGTGGGACAGAATGGCCGATCAAATTTTAACATAGGAAATTAGGAATATATAGGAAAAATCTTCTTCTTATAAACCATTGAGACAGGAAAGATGAAACTCCTATAGAATCATCCCTAGGTAGTGTAGATTCAAATTCAAAGTTTATGTAGCAGATCCATTACATGTACTAAGAAATTGTATTTCCTATCTGAACCAAACTTGCAGGGATGATGCATCAAGGGATGAACACTCTCAAATGTTCAGATGCTGGATTTGAATTATATTTTCTGGACGAGTGACTAGTTTAAAGTTATTAGATAAGGCCGTTTCCAAGTCACTCGAAGCTGTATTTAATCAAAATTGTGTAAATGTTGCATCTTGGGAAAGACGTTTGGAAATAATTAGTTTAGTGTGCGTCCTTGTCTTACTTGACAAGATGCGTTGAGGTGAGCTCTGTAACATATGATTTCTTGATACCCACGTTTAATACGTTTATGCAATTTGTTGTGTGTTTTCTTAAAGTTATAGCCAGACCTTGGCGAAGGAATAAAGAACAAAAAAACAAGTTGGGTAAAATTTATATCGAAGCACAATTCATGCATGGGAGATTTTTTTTCACACGTTTTATGCAAGCCTGTCAATGTTTTAGACTGAATGATTTAAGTCGAAGTCTCAGGTGATCCCTTCTAATTACAATTTGTTCATCGTTTGTGGTATTAGCATCGTCTTCTCGAGAACCACTGGACCATTGCAATTTCAAAATTTGTGTGAAAACATCCTCAGGTATAGATTCATATTTGTTCAAATTTTGACCTACCAAGGATGTGTTGATGCCACAATTGATGGTCAAAGTTACCCATAGAAATACGTTGAAAATATCTTTAAAGATCATATCAAGAATAACAACACCATGCATAAGCGTCGGAACCGGGGGGTGGGGGGGGGTGGGGGGCTAGGGGGCTTAGCCCCCTTTTTTCCAAATATATACTTAGTATAGACATTGAACATATCTTCGTAATTTTTATTTTTTTTATCGTAATTGGAGTTCGAACCTCCCCCCTCCCCTCCCCCCCACGAAATAGGATTTTCGTGTTTTGGAAATGGACATTTCCTCTTTTTTTAAAATTTTTTTTTTGATTGTCAGGTTTTTTTTTAGAGGTACAAATTTTTTTTTTACACTTAGCCCCCCACTTTCAATAAAAAACAAAACATTCTCAAGTAGTCATGGTAATGAAGATTTTAAATTTGTTCAAATCACGATCGCAGGGGTGCGATGGGGATTTAATGGGCAATCAAACTTTAACAGAAATATGTTGTAAAAATTATACAAAACTTCATCTTAAGAATCCCACTGTGAGACATGCATGAGACCGGTCCTTAGGATGAGAC